CCTTTTGCCCCAAAATGCTCTTTAGAGGCATGGGGGCATTTCCACCATGATTTGGAAGCCACTGGACCAATATAGACCCCAGAGACACATTTTTCCAAACAGAAAGAAGCTTCCATTCATTTCCTGTTGTCAAGGCCCCTCAGGTTTTAAGTATCTCAGGAAGTCCCCTAAACATAGTGTCAGTGTCTGTCATGTCCTCAGTGGATATTTGGGTCCTCCAGGTCTCCTGAGGGGACGAATGTGCCCCCCTAGCCTTCCACAGTTGCCCACCCCTGCTCTAGAACCAGGATGGACAACCACCCAAGGTCTGAGGTCCACATACTAGACCTCAGAGGCCTGAACCACCACCCCAAACAGTTTTAAGGGAGGTTCTTTGTTCAGCAACAACAAAAAATATTTGTGAGCTGGTCATTATTATGATGCATAATAAAGGCATACTTTTCTGTTCTCATGGTCACTGTGCTCCAGTCAAGACACAGAATCCACTCGGGTTTTAAGTAGCTTTAAAGTAGCTATCCAAGGTGCTGAACTATTTGAAGCCTAGAGTTCAGCACTTTGGATAGCTCTGTTAGAGCCTTGATTAAAACCTGGAGTGGAGTCACCACGACATTGACATGGGAGCCTCCAGCCACTACTGGGATGATCTTTTGTATGACATAATACAGCCTTTGAAATATTTCCAGTAAAATTCAGCAAAGTAGTCCATCTAGGCCCAAAGAAACAAACTTTCAGATTCCTGACAAAAACAACTGATCACCAATATAGTACATCTGGCACAAATATTATATCATAATAGGTACTTGCATACCTGCACTGGAGCAGGAGTGGATTTTGATTTCCCATGGCCTCTGCTGGAGGTAGAAGAACCTGAGTGAAAAATACTTTTTGCTGAGGTGTTGGCATAGCTCCCTTCAATTCCAGAAGGCTGCACTCTTGAATTAGTAATTTCAGGGACAGGAGAACCAGCAGTCATGGTAGATGAAGGGAAAGAAAGTGGTTCTGGGACTTGCCCTGGAGGAGGATGTTGAGAGAAGCAGTCTGTATTCATTAACTTTCTGCTGCTACCAAAATTGGAGGGTCTGTCTTCCAAAAACATCTTTGAATCTGAAGTCATCTGTTGCAAAGGGGGCTTCTGTTGTGAGCTTTGGCTAGCAATATTAGGCCGCTGTCCAGTTTTTCGTTCCATGTACTCAAGAAGCGCATTGTGCTGTATTTGTTTCAGTTCTGCCTTAGAAAGAGCTCTGCCTTGACCTTCGAGAGCTTTACTTCTGAGGACCCTGGTGTCTTGTTCACTTATCTCATCAGACCGGGACCGTGAACTTTTTGTCTTCCATGATGCACTTTGATCTCTCTGATCATCCAGCTGGTTTAACTTCTCAGGTTCAGAATAGGAGATCTTCTTTTGTTCTGCAGTGGCCCTTTTCCTGCCCCCAATTCGAGTGGTTTGTGGCCTTTTGAATTCATCCTCTCTATTGATATTTTCCAGTGGCTTGATGGGAGGAACTGGTTTAGAATCCTCATTAGTACCTGATAATGACAAGGACCTGAGATGTTCAATGGATGGTCTTGAAAAGGGTCTTGGCTTCAGCCGGACAGGCAAGCTCATCTGTAAATCTTTTCTCTTGAAAGAAGTTTCTCTGAGAACTTTGCTCTGAGCAATTTTAAGTTTTTCCCGATAGACATTCTTGAATGCATCATCCAGTGACGATGCGGGACTCCCCACAATTAACCCTTCATCTGTGCTGGTAGTATCATCCATATGGATGTTCTTGTCCCTGGGAATTTCTATTAGTGCTGCTGACACTGGGCAATTGCTTCTTGAAGATTTTGTAGAGAAGTCTTCTTGTTCAAGAGTTTTATGAGTTTTGTGAGTCATAAAGTTAGAATTTTTCCCACCAGAAAGATAGTAAAGCAGAGGAGTTGTCTTTCTGTTTATCTTTATATTGGCAGAGTTGTGCTGGGGTTGACTTTCAGACTTCTTTAACAAATACTGATTTCGAAAACCAATAGGCTCCAATATTTCTTCTTGCCTTGGTTTCATAAGGAGGTCAGGGCTGCTATTATTGTCATTTCCTTGTGCTTTCCTAAATTCATTGAATGGTTGGGCTGCACTGCTCTCTGCATCCTGATTGTAACAAGATACTGTGTTGGTGGTCTCATAAATTTCACTATGAGGGGTTTCCATGAAGTTCAGACCATGAGAAGGTGATTTCTGCATTCTGGTTTGCTGTTTGAGAAGTGGATGCCGAACATTTCTGCTGTTTTCTTCCTTGGAACTGAAGGAACGTTTCTTCTCTCCATAGTTGTCAATTATCCTTAGTGCAGCCTCATTAGGATTAGAGATGGCTACATATTTTAAGCTAGAATCGCATTTATATATATCCTGTTCCAAACCTGAATGATTGTTAACTCCGGGCAGATGCAGAAAGCTGTCGAGTTCTCCCTCTGGTTTACTGGATCCGGCCAGGGCGCCTAGGAAATCTGCTTCTGCGAAGGGTGGTTTGTGTACACTGCAGGAATAAAAATACTGTTTGTTCTCTTGTGTATCATTAACAGCATTGTGGCTGGCTTGCAGTGAAGGAAAGGACTTAGAGTTCATCGCCTCAGGAATTTTATAAGTGTGGATTGTATTTTGAGTCCACAAAATCTCCTGAGAAGAGTTAGATCTTAATTTTTCTTCCACAATTGTAGAAGATGCAGTGAAAATGGGAAAGTTACTTTTATTTGTGGCATATGGGTCAGTAGAATACCAAATATCACCCTTTTCTGTGACTAAACTCTCATTTCCATATCTAGTGTGCCAATTATCATTGTAACAGTTTGCTGGGGGATCAAATGGGAGGCCTTTGCTGGGATTTTGCATGTCCCCATCTTCTTGTTCACTCTGGTCAAAACAAATTCCAGAAGGCGGACCTCCTTTTCTATTACCTTTATAGCTGTCCACTTGAGCTGGTGGGTGAGGAAGAGGAGATGCAAATCTGGCCAGTGGTGATTGTGTCTGGTATGACATGCCTGAGACAGGAGTACTTCCATATATTTGGCTGTGACCAGTCCTCTCCAACTTGTGGTGGCTGCTCTTTCCTGTTGCCTTGTTTTCACACATGTGTCTAAACTCAACATTTATTGCACTGGGATTATAAACACTTCTTACATATCCTGAGTCCATATAGGACAGCTGTTCTAGAGGCAAAGGGTCATCTTCAGTGTAGCATAATGGGGCAGGATACTCTGGAAGATTGGAACCCCCTGAGAAAGAACTGTATGCAGAGTCTGCTTTTCCAGGAATGTGCAAGCACTGGTCTATGCCACTGAGAGGTTTCTCTGCTACAAACCTGCTGGCATCACAGGGAAGGACCTCAGGATCCAAGAGCTCCTCTGTTCCTTGGTCATGTCTCAGGTTCCATCTAGAAGTTTCATGCTCATAAGAAGACATCTTCTCCTTTATAAATCAATCCAGTCATCCAGAAAAGCCCCTGGGATACAACGAAGAGGTCTTTGGTCTTCTGGCCAAGAATTTGAGTATTTCCGTGTTTCACAGGTCACTGCCATGTTTCATGAGCTGAGAGGTGGATCCTAGAAAAGAGAAGAGCCAATTAAAATATACTTGTGAATGACTTTTTTTAGTGCAATAACCTCAGGAGGGATAGATCAGCAAAACATTTATCAATTAGATGTAAGTACTTTTAAACTGCTTATAACCAGTGTTGTGTCTTGAAGACAAAGTAGTATGTATCTCGAAGTAAAATCTCAACACAAGTATTTCCTCTTTGACTAAATAAACCTCTGAAAATCTGGTCCTAAATTTGGTGGATACCGTATTTTTCGGCATATTAGACGCACATTTTCTTCCCCAAAATG